AGAGAGGTCTTCCTGAGGTGCGGGTGGCACTGCCCAATAGATCCAGGAGATGAGGGTGGGGGGAATTCAGACAGGATGGCCCTGTCACTGCTTCCCCTCCCCCAGGCCTCCCTTGGGCTGAGCCTTCTCCCAGGCTGAGCCCCCTCTGTTGGGCTCCTCCCACCCACACAGTCCAGGAGAAGTGGCTGGAGCCGCTGGGAACCAGGTGGGCTTCCTGCAGGAAACTGCCTGGGAACCTTGGCTCTCTCAGCTCTGCTCTGTTCTCTGCGGGCCTCTCCTCGGCCTCCCCTAGAATTCTGGAAGGAGGGTCCTCTCCTGAGCCTCACCTGCTCCAAACACAGCTCAGAAGGGCCCAGGTGAAGGAGGGTCTTCTCCCTAGCCTTACTTGCTCCAAACACAGCTCACTTCCCCAAGTAAATCAGACCCTCTTGTCCCAGTCTTGGGGAAACTCCAGGCCAAACTTCCACTCCCTGAGCAGAGTGACCCTGATTGGCTTCCTGCAGGGAACAGGCAGCCCCACTCTGGTCAGGACAGGCAGCCCCACTCTGAGGTCAGGATGAGGGAAAACCAAATGCACAGTGATAACAGCCAACGGGCACAAGGCTCTTCCCAGAAGACGACATTTTCTATGTTGTAATCCTCACAGCCACCCCAGGAGGCAGGGGCTACCATCCCCTCTTTTCAGGCCAGAACACAGACACACAGAGATTGAAGTGACTTTCCCAAGATCACACAGCAACCCCCAACAGTGAGCTCCAGAATTCTGACCATTATCAGTGCACCCAACCATGAAGTCAGACAGGCCCTACCTTCCACTTTCTGGTTTTCCTGCTACTTCCTGCTCCTTTTTAGAAAGTGATGAAAGGTCCCTTTTCCATGATGGGAATACTGAGGCATGAAGGGTTAAATTGACAACCTGCCTCGCCCAGTCTACCACTACTCACATCCCATGTCCCTCTTTATCCCCTCAGGGGCCCCTCACTCAGCACCACAGATGCCATCACTTCTACCAGAAGGCTTGGATGGTTCAATCCCTGCCCCAAAGATGATGAGCCCTAGAACCCTTATCTGTGTTTCCTCATCATTCTCGTTCCCAGCATGTTGCACAGCAAACTGCATGAAGTAGATGCTCAAAAATGCTGACCTATCAGGCCACTCCTGGAGTTGCAGAGAGACCACCCTCCAGTTGAGCCAGAGACCAGGTTCTCCCTCCACTGGCCCAAGGAGAGAGGAGAGGGGGCCAGGAGGTGAGGGAATTCCCTTTACCACATGCTCCCCAGGGCCCAGCTGAGCTGGCTGCTCTGTCTACACCTCCCCTCATAACCAACAGTGAATCAGATGGTCTCCCCTGGTTACAGATTAGAAAAATGAGGTCCAAACAGGTGAAATTACTAGGGTGCAATTACTTGGGAACAAGAGGGAGCCCTGGATCTTGACACCACCCCACACTGGCTCTCGTGATACGTGACACACACCAGGTGCTCAGCAAAGGGCCTATGACTTTCTGTCACAGGACAGAGAGCCCCTGAAGACTATTCCAGCTGCAAACACTGCCCTCACCCACCCCAGAGGGCATGTTCTCAGCCAGTCCACAAGGGCACCAGCTGCCCTTGCCCTATGTATTCAGGGTTGTTCAAAGCCCTGTGGGGTTTTTAATCATCCCCCACGTCCACACAGGTGTGATTTATAAAGTGGGTCTTAAACGCCACCACCTCCAATCAGCAGATTACCGCAGGGTCTTGGCAGCATCCCCTGGGATATAAGTTTGGTCCTAAATGGGTCACCCTTGACCATCCTTGCCACAGTGCCAACAGCAACAACAGAGACATGTCATCCCCTTTGAGGGCTTGGCGGCAGCCACACCCTTGCCAGACCAGAGAGCAGTGGGGTTGTGGCTTCTAAGGGCCCTGGAAGGACAATGACATTGCTGCCCACAGTGGCTGTGCCATGTGGCCTCCTCCACAACCTCAGCCAGGTGGACTTGGGGTGTGAAGCCAGTGAGGGCAGGAGTTCGAGGCTTGGGTGAAGCTCTTGACGGTGGGGGTTGGGGGGAGCAAGCCCAGGTGCAGGGAGGGAGGGAGGGTGGGAGAGACTTACACTCTCCCCATTCTGACCTCAACCCTCCTTCTCACTCCAGGATGGTGCCAGTGGCAGCCCCATCTCCCAGCCCTGAGCGGCCATCCCACCTCTCATGGGGCCTTCCCATGGTCTACCACCTGCCTTCCGTTTCCACAGCAGCTAAAAGGCCAGGAAGGAGGAGTTAGATCTGGAGGCCAGACTCTGCTGATGGGCATCTCTGGGCCTCAGTTCCTCCATCTGTAAAATGGGTGCTCATGCCACGAGGATGTGATGTGTTTTCAGTGAGGCACAATAGGTAAGACAGTGGTGCAGAGCTCAGGAAACGCCCCAGCTCCAGAGCCAACCCCATCCTCCTCGCCATGGTTCTCACCATCCTCCCAGCCACCCAGAGCTCCCCTTGGTCACCCACAGGTCCTGGGCCCCCCATCACTTGGCAGGAGCCACCTGAGCTCTCCTCCTGAGGAGAAGGGGGAGCCCCTGGCTCCCAGCTCCACCACCCAACCTCTCTCTATCCACCAACCCAAGTCTCAGCCCCCAACCCCCTGCAGCTTTGGAGGCCGCTGAGTGCCGGCTCTGGCTCGCTTCTGTTCATCCACAGGGCCCTGCGGGCCTAGCCCTGCCACGTTCAGGCAGCTCCAGCCCCAGCATCCCCAGCGAGGGAGGCCTCCATGGAGCCTCGGCCTAGTTGGCCACACACCATCCACGTGGTTGTGTTGGGTTGTGGCAGAAAGGCTGATGGGCCAGAACTCAGGGGGGCCTGGAAATCTCCACCGAGCGGGACGAACTGGCTCCAACGTGGCCAGGAGAGCTCCCTTGGGGGCCCATCTAGGGGGTAGAGACCCTGCCACACTGGTGTGGGAGGTCCGGGGCCCAAGGAACACACCCAGTCACGTCAGACCTCTGAGCTCTTTGACCTGCTTATACCCAACATGTGCCAAGAGTTCCCTTGCTAAATAATTTCCCAAACAGCTTTCTAGAAGGGAGTTGGCAGAGAGAGTCCTGGCGGTGTCTGAAGGAGACAAAGGAAAGCAGAGACTGGCATTGGCAGGGACTGCTGTGACCCTGGGGAGCATTTTGGCCCCATGAAGGATGATTGCAACATGCTCGTGGGCGACGCGGTGAGGAAACTGGGAGGCACTGAGGCTCAGTTTCCAAATCCCCTGGATGCTCATTCCAGCTGCCAGGGAGCCTCTGTGGTGGGGGCTGCAACTCAGGTGACCCTGGAGACTGCGGCCAATCAGCAGCAGGGCCATGGTCACTGAGGAGAGCCTGGGACCCCCGCCACCAGCCTCCTTTCCCCGGGCCTCTCAGAAATCAGGTCAGTACCAGTGACTCACAAGACATCCTTGCAGCCTGGGCCCTCTGGGTGACAAGATCTCCCACCGACCCTCCAGCAGTAAGTTTGATGGGCATTTCTGCACCTGAGACCATGTGGCAGCCCCCCTCCGAGTGTGTAAATGTCCTTGATTTTATGCAGTCTTGGTGATGGTGGTCGGCATCTGGAGATGTGGCTGGCTTCCTTCAGTGTCTCTAAGAATTAGCCCCTCTGCTAGTCCTCAGCTGGCTCCCTGGAGTTGGGCTGGACTTGCTCTAGGGCAAGGGTGAGGGTTAGGGTTTGGGTTAGGGTGAGGGTGAGGGTTAAGGTTATGGTGAGGGTGAGGGTTAGGGTGAGGGTTAGGGTTAGGGTTAGGGTGAGGGTGAGGGTGAGGGTGAGGGTTAGGGTTAGGGTGAGGGTTAGGGTTAGGGTTAGGGTTAGGGTGAGGGTTACAGTGAGGGTTAGGGCTGGGGGACCCAGGTCTAGCAAGCAACACATGTTCACTGGAACTTGCTTGAGGGCAGGAGAGACTAGAAACACCTCCTGAAGAAAGGCTGGTGTGGGGTGATCCACTGTCTTGTCACCAACAGGGCCCAGGCCGGCAAGGGGGCTCATGAGTTCCTGGTACAGACCTCGCCTCTGAGAGGCCCGGGGAACAGAGGCTGGTGGCTGGTGTGGGGCAATTCACTGCCGGTAGCTCAGGGGCATCAAGAGATGGCCACCATTTTGTCCATGGGAACACAGGATCCTCATCACCGAGGCCCACTGGTGCATGCCTCTCCCAGCACACATTGGGTGGGGGTCTTCCCTGCCTCTGTGCCTAGCCCCCACCTCCCAGACTACTGCTTAAAGCCCTCAGTGGCAGCAGGCTCGGGCCACCATTTGAAGTAGGACCTCCTCCTGGGTTCTCCTCCCCGGTCACTGGCCAGGGGCACAGTCACTAGGGGACAGGCACTGATCAGTGCACCCTCCCCCAACAGTTCTCAACCCTGAGCACCCCACCTTACAGAGCCGGAGCCCTGACACCTTGGTTCTGAGCCTGAGTCAGATTCTTCTCCTCAAAACCCATGCCAGGAGGACCCCTCCTGGAGGGGGGGACCAGTAGAAATTCCCTATGGCCACCACACAGGCTTGACTGAGCCCCCAGTCCCATAAGCCAGCGCCATAGCTCCTCCTTCAGTCAGCTTGCTAGGCAGGCCCGTCTCCCCAAACTCCCAAGCAGGTAGGCCTCAGCTCACGGCCAGGGACAGGGACATTTCCCCTGTAGGGTCCTGGGGCCCAGGACCCAACCCCCATGGTGCATCCTTCACACTCCAGCTCAGAAAATTCTCTCCCAGGGAATACCCGCCCCACCCAGCCTCAGGAGCTCTTGCGCATGCCGTGGCTCTGCACCGCTCTTCCCACAGCCTGAAAGCACAGGCCCCGTGGACAGAGGCTGCTTCTCACACCCCGCACTGTCCTCCCCTTCTGTGCTGGTGACAGCACCAGCCCCCGACCCACCAACTCTTAGGTAAGCCACACCCAGTGTGGCAGGGTGCCCAGGAGGGCGTCACGGGGTTGGCAGAGCCAGTTGGGGAACGGGGACTATTTAAGGAATGGGAAGACAGGGGGATCAGGTTTCCAGCATGGACGTGCTGCTGGGAGATGTTGGCAGTTGTCCGATTCAGCCTGGAAGCTGTTGAGATGCTGAGGTGGTGAGTGGGTGGACAAATATCTGGACGGCAGGGCAGAGGTCAGAGCTGGAGAGATGCAGTGGGGCCATCGCCATAGGAATGGTGTTTAAAGGGACTGGGCTGTCAGCTGGGTGCGGTGCCTCACACCTATAATCCCAGCACTTTGGGAGGCCCAGGTGGGTGGATCACCTGAGGTCAGGAACTTGAGACCAGCCTGGCCAATATGGTGAAACCCCATATCTACTAAAAATACAAAATTTAGGCAGGCGTGATTCCTGTAATCCCAGCTACTCAGGAGACTGAGGCAGGAGAATCGCTTGAACCGGCAAGGCAGAGGTTGCATGAGCTGAGATTGCAGCATTGCACTCCAGCCTGGGTGATAGAGCAAGTCTTTGTCTCAAAATAAATAAGTATATATAAATAAATAAATAAAATCAAGGGACTGGACTTGGGGATCCTGGGAGAGGGTGTAGATGGGGCTTACCCCAAGCCATCCCAGGTGGGGAAAAGGCAAAACAGCCATGGAAAGAGACTGAGAAGGTGTAGCCCATGACGAAGTGGGAGGACCGGTGGGGAGGACCACTAGGAAGGACTCATGGGGGGGCAGCTGGGGAGGGCAGGTGGGGAGGATGGGTGGGGAGGACAGGTGGGGAAGACTGATGGGGAGGACAGGTGGGGAGGATGGGTGGGGTGGGTCTCCTGGAAGGCACGAGGAGAAGGCTGTGCAGTGCTGCTCGAGGATGGAATGGGTTTGGGAACACAGGTTGCTGGAGGCCTTGGTGACACTTCTTTTATGCCAGATTTGTTTCTACAGGGAGGCATCTATGAAGGGAGATGGCTTCAGGTGATGAGGGTTGGAGGGTGACGCGGGTTGGAGGGTGATGGGGGTTGGAGGGTGATGGGGGTTGGTGGGTGATGGGGGGTTGGAGGGTGAGGGGGTTGGAGGGTGATGGGGGTTGGAGGGTGATGGGGGTTGGCGGGTGATGGGGGTTGGAGGGTGAGGGGGTGTTGGAGGGTGATGGGGGTTGGAGGGTGATGGGGGTTGGCGGGTGATGGGGGTTGGAGGGTGATGGGGGTTGGTGGGTGATGGGGGGTTGGAGGGTGAGGGGGTTGGAGGGTGATGGGGGTTGGAGGGTGATGGGGGTTGGAGGGTGATGGGGTTGGCGGGTGATGGGGGTTGGAGGGTGAGGGGGTGTTGGAGGGTGATGGGGGTTGGAGGGTGATGGGGGTTGGCGGGTGATGGGGGTTGGAGGGTGATGGGGGTTGGTGGGTGATGGGGGGTTGGAGGGTGAGCGGGTTGGAGGGTGATGGGGGTTGGCGGGTGATGGGGATTGGAGGGTGATGGGGGTTGGTGGGTGATGGGGGGTTGGAGGGTGAGGGGGTTGGAGGGTGATGGGGGTTGGCGGGTGATGGGGAGTTGGAGGGTGATGGGGGTTGGAGGGTGATGGGGGGTTGGAGGGTGTTGGGGGGTTGGAGGGTGATGAGGGGTTGGAGGGTGATGGGAGTTGGAGGGTGATGGGGGTTGGAGGGTGATGGGGGATTGGAGGGTGATGGGGGTTGGAGGGTGATTCGGGGTTGGAGGGTGATTCGGGGTTGGAGGGAGATGCGGGGTTGGAGGGTGATGGGGGTTGGACAGTGATGGGGGTTAGAGGGTGATGGGGGTTGGAGGGTGATGGGGGTTGGCGGGGCCGGCTTGGCTGGGGGTTACTGGGAATAAACCCCACACAGGGAAGTTGACAGGGCAGGTGAGAGCTGCCCCAAAGCCATCCTGACCCCAAACTTAGATCCCCTCCTCTGCATTTCAATTCTTATCCCCACCCCAACCCCTCTTCATGCTGCAGCCAGAGGAGGCTGGGGTTCAGAGAAGATGGAGCTTCAGCTCCCCAGGAAAATCCAGACTCCCTCTCTGGCTCGGGAGGCCGGAGCTCTGGCCATACCCCTTCTCAAGCCCCTGAAAGAAGCGCTGCCTCAGCCTCAGGCACTGGGTCAGCCTTCGAGTCCTCGCTGCTGAGCCTCACTCCCCACGGTCCCCCTCTCAGAGGCCTCAGCTGTGTGTCCAGCCTGGCTCAGGGTGGGCACTTAGACACGACCTCCCACCCTCCCCTTCCTCTCTGCTCTGGTGGTCCAGCTTCTTCTTAAATGCCTCCTGTGATGGGATGCTCAGCACTACTCAAGCCAGCAGGTCCCCACTTCAGTTTTTCCCCTGGTATGGGTTCAGGGCAAGAGCAGGGAGCCAGGGCCCACTGTAGTACAGGGGGCTCTTTCCAGCTGGGGGGATGTCAACAATCCATTGCCTCCTGGAAGACCTGGGCATAGGTGCAGCCTCTGTGCACAGGCAGGAAGGCAGTGGCCTCCACTGACCAAGCCTTCACACGACTCATCAGCTGTGACACACACCTTTTCATTTGGACCCATTAGGGTAGCCTGGTGGAAATAAAGCATCTATCATGCCCCAGGAAAGTGTCACACAGGTATTCCCAAATTCTCCTTCTCCACAGCCCTCCGAGGCCCAACGGCCATTCATACCCATCAACCAGGAGAAAAATAATGTCATTTCCATAATGCACACCCTCTCCGAGAGGCGCTATAAATATGTAGAGATGACATCGCCGCAGCGCGGCTTGTGTGAGTGATGTCATCTTAGGGGGTTGCCTAGCAACCCTGACAACGTTTGGGAGGCTCTAATTCTTGAGTGGGATAAAGTCACATTTATGCAGTTCAGTTAATCAGCTTCCTGGCAACTCTGCCAAGATGATCTCATTTTATTCATGATTATTTTATGTGAAATGCGCTTTTAGCTCTAAGAGAACACAAAGATTTAATTCAAAACTCGCTATTGCCTTGTGTTTCCAGGGTGTCGTTAACACGGCGTCCATGCAAATAACCATGGTAACACACGGATAATTAGTATATATGGCACACGGTATTAATACAGAGCCGGGGCGGGCTCCCAATCAGCGCCGATTACCGCGTGTTATTACTGGAGTAATTACCTGCAGTAACACACAAATTGAACTAAATGGTCAATTGAAGTAAAGTGAATGGCTTTTTATTCTAGTCCCTAAATAATGTGTCTGCTTGGCTGAGTAGTTAAAGGTAAATAAAACTCTTAAATTGACGCCCTTTCCCCACCGCCCCTCCCTGGGTGGAGAATTGGGCTTCATGGCTCTTGCAGTCTGGTAACCAGACAGTTACTCCTGGAAGCATCTGCCTCTCCTCCAGCCTCCCCACCTCAACAGCAAGCACCCCCATCAAGCGTCCCTGCAGAGCTCTGGCCCTTATTAAAAATTCCCAAGCCCTGTGTGCCGTCTTACTCATCCCCCCAGAGAAGAGGGCACGGAACTTTCCAGATCCAAGATGAAGAGCAAAAGGCAAACGGCCTTTCTCCCAGGGATGTTTTCTTGCCTCTCTGGTAGGTGGGACAGCAAAGAATCACTGGCTTCCTGTTACAGGATGGAAGCCGGGAGGGGAGGTCAAAAGTCACTTCTGCCTTATTAGCAGAGCGTTTCTAAAATTCCATAAACTTAGGAGATCTTCAAACAGGAAGTCACACTGGACCTCTCAGAGAAACTGGGCACGTTCCAAATTTGAGCTCCTTGGCTCCCTTCAGAGAGGGACAAGGAGAAGGAAAGGCAGGCAGGCAACCCTCAAACTGGGCTCGGAGGAGACCTGTGCAACCAGATGCCCAGTGATGGGACAGGGGATAGAGTCAGTCTTATTCCGGCCCTTTCCCTGTGACAGAAGCAGTGTTTGCATGGAAGCAGGCCTGGGGAGGTGGGAGAGAAACGTCAAGTCCTTCTTTCAGCTGTGGGGTGGGTCCAACCCCCACCATCCTGGATGATGGGCCAGGGTGCCCACATGGGCATCGAATGCCAGGAAAGCAAACACAGGGTAGAGAGGAGTATAAAGGGGGCCTGGCTGCTCGGGGCTTCTCTGAGGGAGACAAAATTAAGCTGAAACTGGAAGGGTGAGAGAGGTTACAGGGAAGGAGGACAGAGGAGGAGAGTCACACGGAAGTGCCAGCAAAAAGCCCTGTGCCTGAGAGAGGCCACTTCACTAAACCACCATCTTGGATGCCACACGTGCAGAAATGCCTAAGTACAGAAATCTGAGGAGGAAAGAAAAACTTGGCTTAAAAACCCATAGCCTCGTCTGCATTCCAACATGGCAGGGGCAGAATTCATTGCAGGGCAAGCTGCTCTGTTGCTCAGAAAACTCTCTCAAAGGCCCTTCCTTGTCAAGAGGAGGCCACCTGTCTACTCTGAATTGGAGAGGCTGAGACTAACAAAGAGAGCAAATTGCATTTCAAATGAAGGGGATTTCTGATCAAAACACTTGCAGATGCACACCTGCTCACACCCACTGCCCCAGAGCAAGGCAGCCATCAATGCAACAGAAACAAGGGGGTCCAGAACATATGCCTGGGCTGAAAACAAGACAAGCCTCTCACAAATCAGAAACAGAAGAAGGAGGGTGAGCAACACAGCCCACAGGGCTCCAGGTCGGGAGTGGCATGATCTGGACACTTAGCACTCCCCAAGGTCAGTAGGGAATGGAGGCCAGCTCGGGTCAGGATACAGGCTTCAGAGAGAGGGCAAGAAAACAGCCCAGCAGCCTTGGTGCTGAAGTTATAATTTAGGAACACTGCAGCCTCTGGAGGAGGCAGGGAAGGGCTGATGCCACAACCTCAAAATGAGAAGCCTCACCAAGATGCCTTCTGACTCCGGGACCATATCTGCTTTGTGCTCTATGTCACAGCACTGCAGAAATAACACCTGATTCTAGACTAGTCAGGAAGAAAAAGGGAGCAAAAGACATAAAACCAGAGGAAGCGAAACCTCAACTCCTTCCAGTCGAAATGAGCAAACTAACATTTTAAAACACAAGAAATGGTAGGAAGAAGAAATTGATTTTGTATAGCAATCTGACAAAGACATCAAAATAGCATTGTGTTCCACAATGACATAAAGTCTCACATCTATTGAAAAATGAATAATATATCAATATATCCAAAAATAGTA